GTGCAAGAAAGCAGATCCACGGATGCCGAGGGCTGAGAAGGAGACTGCTGGGGATGAGCTGTAAAGGGGCACACAGGAACTTTGAGGGTGTGGAAATGCTGTGTCTTTATTGTTGTAGTGACCGTGTGGCTGCATGCATTTATCAGACCTCATCGAGCTGCACATGTCAATTATACCTCAACAAAGCTGATATTAAACATCAATTGCATGGTTGCACAACAATGTGAACGTTCTTAAAGCCACTAAACTGTGCACTTAAAAACGGCTTAAATGGGCCGGGCATGGTGGTTCATACCTGTAATCCCAGCACTTTGGGAGTCCAAGGTGGGCAGATAATGAGGTCAGGAGTTCAAGACTGGCCTGGCCAACATGGGGAAACCCCATCTCTACTAAAAATACAAACATTAGCCAGGCACAGTGGTGCATGCCTGTAGTCCTAGCTACTCGGGAGGTTGAAGGAAGAGGATCACTTGAACCCTGGAGATGGAGGTTGCAGTGAGCCAACATCACATCACTGCACTCCAGCCCGGGTGACAGAGCAAGACTTCCTCTCAAAAAAAAAAAAAAAAAAAAGGTTTAAATGGGCCAGGCTCAGTGGCTCTCACCTGTAATCCCAGCACTTTGGGAGGCCAAGGTTGGTGGATCACCTAAGCTCAGGAGTTCGAAACCAGCCTGGCCAACATGGCAAAACCCAGTCTCTACTGAAAACACAAAAATTAGCTGGTCATGGTGGTGAGAGGTGAAGCCAGCTGGACTTCTGGGTCAGGTGGGGACTTGGAGAACTTTTCTTACAAGAGGATTGTAAAATGCACCAATCAGCACTCTGTGTCTAGCTAAAGGATTGTAAATACACAAATCAGCACTCTGTGTCTAGCTAAAGGATTGTAAATGCACCAATCAGCACTCTGTAAAATGGACCAATCAGCAGGATGTGGGTGGGGCCAAACAAAGGAATAAAAGCTGGCCACCCCAGCCCACAGCCACAATCTGCTGAGGTCCACTTCCACGCTGTGGAAGCTTTGTTCTTTCACTCTTCACAATAAATCTTGCTACTGTTTACTCTTTGGGTCCGCACCACCTTTAAGAGCTGTGCCACGAAGGTCCGCAGCTTCATTCTTGAAGTCAGTGAGACCACAAACCCACCAGAAGGAAGAAACTCCGGACACACCACCTTTAAGAGCTGTAACACTCACCGCAAAGGTCCGTGGCTTCGTTCTTGAAGTCAGCGAGACCAAGAACCCACTGGAAGGAACCAATTCCGGACACAGTGGCATGTGCCTGTAATCCCAGCTACTTGGGAGGCTGAGGCAGGAGAATTGCTTGAACCCAGGAGGCAGAGGTTGCAGTGAGCTGAGATCGTGCCACTGCACTCCAACCCGAGCAATAAAGCAAGACTCCATCTCCAAAAGAAAAAGGTTTAAATGGCAAACTTTATGTTGCATATATTTTATCACAATTAAAATAAATACCCATCCCCCCCAAAAAATCCAAGGTACTCTACATTCTGGCAATAACAATTAGAAACTAAACTTTTGAAAAGAGCATTTACAATAGTACCCAAACCAAAAAACTACCTAGGAATAAAACTAATGAAAGATACACAAGACTCTACCCTGAAAAATATAAAACACATGTGAAAAGTAAAGTAGAGGTTCCTCTTCAAAGACTTTCCTCCTTGTCTGCTTAGGAACAAATAGTAACTTCTCTTAGAAGCAAAATTTATTCAAAGACCTGTGCTAACATTCTTAAATATCTGCTAGCCGTAATAAAGAAATCAATGTACTTTATGTTCTTAACTCCCACACTTAGCCTAAATATTTGCCCTGGCATGCTTCTACTGGTCCAAGCAAGCATTAGGTCATATCCTGTTCCTCTTCCTTATTTGAAGGTGTTTTTACCTTTCTCACCATTCCACAAGTTACTTCCTCCTTCCTTTGTTCTCCTCTGCCTTTGCCTCTTAAAAAGTTCTAAGTTGCTAGCCAATCAGGACAAATACAGAATGTGAGGTTCTGTTCCAGCCAATGGAAACCCAGACATAGCAGTAGGGTGGACAAGTCAGGTTATAAATGACCCTGTCTCCTGTGTTCAGTGTACTCTCATGGCAAAACTGCTGGCGAGTGTACCCTTTCTGCAGAAAGTATAAAAATGGCCTTGCTGAGAAAAATTTATATTCAAGTGCTTTTTGTTGTTGTTGTTTGTTTGTTTTTTACAGCACTGAGAAATAAGCATTTCAAACACACAAAATGTAACTGAGGAAAAATTAAAGAATATCTAGATTAATGGAGGAATAGATCATGTTCACGGATTGGAAGAGTCAGTATTTTAATGCCAAATCTCCCTGATTTGATGTACAGATTCAGTGGAATATCACTCAAAATCCCAGCATTTTTGTGCACATTGAAAATGATTCTCCAGTGGACACAGAAAATCAAAGACCCCTGAGCAGCCAAAGCAACCCTAAAGAGAAGAACCCAGCTGGGGGATTTCACTGCCAGACAGCAGAACTTGTTTTAAAGCTGAGGCAACTTAAGATCCTGAAGGTCCGCACAGGGACATATTCTCAGACCAGTGAAGCAAACAGGAGTCCCAGACAGACACGAAGATGTGGTCCCACCTGACAGGAGGTGCAGCTCGAGGAGTGCATGGCTTTCAGTAAAGGGCGCTGGGCCAACTGCATATCCACAGAGAAAAAATTATCCGACTCCACACCTCAGCCCTGATGCAGATGAATCAGAGAAGGATCCGGGATCAAAATGTAAACGCGAAAGCAAAAACGTCTGGAATTTAAAAACAGAAAGCATTTCTGCAGAGCCGGTGAGAGGCGGGTGAGCTGGGCCTGGACTGCCTGGCCTCTTTCCGTGCGGAGGCGAACCCAGAAGCCCAGCGGCAGCCGCGGGCGCTCAAGCGGCCCTGAAGCTGAAGAGGGGCGCTGAGCCACTCCACACCTCCTGGACCTGGCGGCGGCCTCTCCCAGCCTGGACCCCACCGGCCACCGGTGGCGGCCCAACCCTGCTAGGCCTGCTCCCCACCAAGCCGGGGGGGCCTTCGGGCGGTGGAGGGCGGGAAGCGCAGCGCCTCGAGGCCTTCTGACTGTGAAGGGCAGGAATCGTGGAACCCAGGACCACAGGACTGTGGAAGGCGGGAAGCGCGGGGGCCCCCCGGAGCCTTCCGGGTGTGGAGGGCGGGAAACACAGCGCCCCGAAGCCTTCTGGCTGTGGAGGGCCGGAAGCGCGGGCCCTCAGGCCTTCCCGCTGCGGAGGGCGGGAAGCGCGGGGCCGCGGGGCCTTCTGGATTTGGAGGCACCGCTTCAGACCGCGGAGCAGCTGGGAGCCGCAGGAGGTGACTCCCACCAGCTGGGCGAACCTACCTAGTCCTGGGTGAGCCTACCTAGTCCCAGGTGAGCCTACCTAGTCCTGGGCGAGCCTACCTAGTCCTGGGTGAGCCTACCTAGTCCAAGGTGAGCTTACCTAGGCCTGGGCGAGCCTACCTAGTCCTGGCCACGTGGACAAAGGCTTTGCTGGGGGGAGCTGTGTGGCCCAGTGGTGGAGGCGGGAGCGGGCGACTGGTCCCGGTGCCCAGGCTGAGCTGTGGGAGGAAGGGGCGGCAGAAGGACGTGCCACACCGGTCCGCTGGAAGTGCTGCCACCCTGTGGGAGAGCTCACTGGCCTTTCCAGAGGGCCCGGGTGTACAGGGTGGAAAGCCGCTCTCACCGCCCCCCCAGCCTTCTGAAAGAAAACGCTAGCTCCATCTAGCCCCTCTAGATTAAAGAGGTGGTCCACAAGGGTAGGGTAGAGTTAGGAGATCATGCATCTTGTAAATGCCCACTTGTTTAAAACAACAGTCATAGAACATGAATGTTTTCTGGAAATGATTTTTTGAAACGAAATTCTTAGACCACACCTGGAAGCTGGCCCAGAGGGGACATATCCACATGTGTTCACTGGATTAGAGGACACGGAGGGGGACATGAGGAGGAAGAGAGCAGAGTTCCATGCCAGACTGGGAGTGTTTAGAAGGCATTTTCATATTCTAATTAGTATTATGTGTGCACTTCATTCCTCATTACTGTATATAGACAATACTAAATACTTTTTGGAAATATCTCACCTTTCTAGATGTTCTAAAGTGACTGATATATGTTAAAAGTAGAGGTAGTAAAATAACACATTTTGTTTGGGTGCAGTGGCTCATGCCTGTAATCCCAGCACTTTGGGAGGCTGAGGTGGATGGATTGCTTGAGCTCAGGAATTTGAGACCAGCCTGGGCAAGGTGGCATCTCCACAAAAAACACAAAAATTAGCCCTGCCAGTGACTCTTGCCTGTAGTCCCAGCTACTCAGGAGGCTGAGGTGGGAGAATCCCTTCAGCCTAGAAAGTTGAGGCTGCAGTGAGCAAAGATTATGCCATTGCACTCCAGCCTGGGCAACAGAGCCAGATCCTGTCTCTAAAATAAATAAATAAATATTTTTAAGTAAATAAATATGATTCTCCATCTTTCAAGCTCTTTCTCAAGTTCTAGTTCTTTGGAAGGCCTTCCCGGGATACTTTCCCTCAACAGATGCTGCCATTCTGCACTTTGAAACTGTGCCACATGTGTTGGCATTGTGGCTCACGCCTGTAATCCCAGCACTTTGGGACATCGAAGCGGGCAGATCACCTGAGATCGGGAGTTTGAGACCAGCCTGACCAACATGGAGAAACCCCGTCTCTACTAAAAATACAAAATTAGCCAGGCGTGGTGGCACAGGCCTGTAATCCCAGCTTCTCAGGAGGCTGACGCAGGAGAATCGCTTGAACCCAGGAGGTGGAGGTTGCGGTGAGCTGAGATTGCGCCATTGCACTCCAGCCTGGGCGACAAGAGCAAGACTCCGTCTCATAAAAGAAAAAAGAAACTGCCACACTGGTTAGCTCAGGGTCCTGCTCTCTCTGTATGTGCAAGCTCCTTAAGGGAAAATTGTTTCTGTCATACACATTCTTGTTAATCTATTATATTTTTTATAGGAGCGTCAGCCATGAACCTCGTGATGGGTGTATCACTTCTCCCCTATGAAAGCCACAGAAACCAGGGAAGGAGAGACCCTCAAAAGAACTTGACCTGGCAGACCGCGCCCTCCCTAAGGCTGCTTCAACCACAGAGTCCCTGGGGTTGCTCCATGAGGAAGCAGGACACAGGACAGGGAGCTATAAGACCTTCCCACTGCTATCCCTGCCCTCGCGAATGGCCTTTGCACAGCCTGGGTGCTGTTTGCCAATAAAACGAAGTGAAAACAACATATCAAAGCTAGCCCAGCCTTTGTGGCTGGCAGATCCTTTTTGGCAGACATTGGCAGGATTTTGTCAGAAAGACCTTGCAGTTCCACACAGGCACAAGGAAAGTTCGAGGAGAGCAAAAGGCTCCCCACAGCCTGTTGCAGAGATGGCCTGAAAGGCACTTGGGCTGTGTGAGCCCTGTGGGAGTAACCGCTGAGCACTGGACCGGACCCAGAGGTCTGGACAGCTGAGGTTGAAGAGACAGGGAGAAGGCTATGGCTCCAGTCAGCCTGTCCTAGAGGGTGGCTCACTGATTCGGAGCAGCAAGCCTGGGGGCAGGGGGGACATGGGAGTGAATGCACACACCAGGTAGAGGAATCTTAATAGGGTTACTCCAGCTTTTGGGGTGGGACTTTTGCTGAATTGACCAATTGGTTGCCATCCCTGGCCTGGGAAAACTAAACCCCAGGTGCACTCCTCAGGCACTGGGACAGCCCACAAGCCCAGGGCTCGGGAGCAGAAGGCAGTTTATGGTGCTATTGACCTCCCAGTTTCAAAGGAGTGTTCCATAGAGCTGCCCAGCCTGCTCTCACCATTCCTTCACTGGACTCCACCTCCCTAGCACTGGCTGCTCTAGTGCTGACAACTACAGGAGGGACAGGTGAGCTTGAAGGGAGTTTGAAAACAAAAATGCAAGCAATGGAAGGTCTTCCAGCTCAGCTCCAGTAATGGGGGCAGTCCAGAGGGAAACTGATGAAGGCACAGTGGCCAAACCCAGCACCCAAGGCCAGGACAACAACGTGTTGTTGATGAAGATGAGAAAGGAGGGGCAATGTCCATCTACATCCCTGGTACCCCTAGCAAGGACTTGCAAAAGCAGAAAGAGGTGCACTGCCAGGGGTAAGGTCTTAAACTCGAGACCACCTGGACACGTAAGCCCACGTCAAGGTATAGACAAAGTGCACTGAGAATCCAGGTGCTTCAGATGAAATCATCATCTCAAGAACAGGCCTTTGATTAGAGCAAGGGTTTCAGAGGGCACCTCACTCTCTCACCACAGAGGCCAGCACAAAGCCTGAACAAAGTGAGGGCAGCTGCCATAGAAGCAAACCAGTCAGACACTCGAGGAGATGGGGTAGTGGTACCCGATTGAAGTGTCAGTGTAGAGACCCACCATGAGGGTGGGGGAGGCACCTTGGCAACCCTCAAGTTGCTCACCCATCAGAGACAGCCAACACTTCTTAATATCCCTGTTAAAAATACAGAGAGGCAGGGGTTTTGATAACACCAGCCCATATTAGCTCTTTATTTCCTTCTCTATGATATTCCCAAGGCCTAAAAAAGTGACTTAAGTTAGCAAATAAGTAAATAACCACTTTGGCCAAAAAGGTGTTTAAGATGATTACAGTGAATTTAATTTAAGAATTAATTTTAATTTAAGAATATTTAATTCTTAAATTAAATATTAATAAAAGGATGCCACACTTTGCCCCAGGAATAGGCCAGGATGCCAAGACCCAAGACCACGCCAGGAGCATGTACTCTGACCAATGAGGGCTCAGACACTAAGCCCAGTGGTCTCTGAAGCAGCTACCAAGAGGAAATCGTAACCCAAATATTGACAGAAATCCCAGAGCCATCATGATGGGGATGAGAGTGCTGAGGGACCTAGAAGACACAACATTGGGTAATCAAGGAGATTTCCTTAGAGGTAGGAGCAGATGTGAGACCATGAAGAGCTGACCAATACCCCAGACTTTAGGTCAATGGCTTTCCTAAGGAGGGCATCCCACTGAGCCATTGAAATGCTTGAGTGGATCTCTTTACTGGGTGGACTTATGTTCAGAAGGAATCAGGATGTTGAAGGTTTACCACGCAGCTGCTCTGGAGCTGAGATCACGATCCAGCATCCAAAGATAAAGCAGGTAGTGCCTGGACATGTCCCTGGACGCAGTCCTGTCCCCTGTGATGCACCAAACAATGAGACTAGGACCCAACTGGGCCTTCACTTGACCAATGGATGATATATAGATCTCACACTGTTTCATGAAAGAGTCAAATATACAAAGCAACACCCAAAGGAGCCAAGAAATCAAAGAATAAGGCAGACAAACCCAATTTGTCAGTAGAGGGTGATTTATTGGGAACTTATGGACAGAAGCATGGTCTTGGGCAGCAGCAAGACAGGTAGACCTCTGCACTGTTACCCCCAAGACCCAGGGCTTATATACTACAGAAATAGGATCTATGTGTTCAATAAGGAATGTGCAGCACAAAGTCAACCTTCCAGGAAAAGACAAGAATGCTACGTACATCATAGTCTGTAATTTATGCAAAACATCAAGGTTGTTTCCACCTGAGGCAGGAAATACTAGCTCTTAAATGAGGAATAGTGGATAAAAATAGAAATTTTAGAGGCATTCACAGACCTGGGGTTAATCAGAAGTCAACATCATGGATTAGCATGCAAAAGCATGCAAGTTGGAGTTGCTTCAACCTCCACACACACTGATATATTAGTGTGAGCAACAACATGCCAGATAGGGCGGTACATATGCAAACAGTAGAACACTGCCAGAAGAGACCATTGCACGTCAGAACATCACCAGGTTGTTTGAGGGGATGCTGCAGTTACCACTGGAGGCCTTGCCAGTGACCACGTCCCGGCATGTGGGAAATGGCAACTTCTGCTCTGATCAAGGAACTCAACTTATCATCCTCGATGTGCAGGATTGCCCCCCATCTCGGGACACAGTCTGAACTTTCTCCCCAGTATATCATCTGTAGCAGGCAGCAGGGTAAGTAAAAGATGCAGTACTTCAAGAGACACAGACACACACCAGCACCCCAATCTAAGCCATAAAACATGCTTTCTACAAAAGCAGGAGGAGCAGACAAGAGCCATAAATAGGTAGGAAGGGGGATCAATTCACCTTTCCTTAGTGGCAGCTCAGAATGGGGAGTGGGTGTGGGCTGGATGTGGACATTACGCCCTTAAATACTTTTCTGCACTTCCACAGCAGTGACTATAGAATCTGTGAAAGTGGGTCTCACACCACATCTAAGGGAATAGCAGACTCTGGACAGACAGCATCCCATAATCTCAAAGTCACCTTCCCTCTAGAATGGTCTGGGAGAATCTTGAAATCCAGCCCTGCCAAGGGAAGGATGGGGAGACATGTCAATGACAAACAAAGCCGGACACTAGTAAATGACAAGGACAGATTTTTGCCAGTAATGCACTATTGCAATCAGGAAAGGAGTCCAGCATGAGCTGATTTTGATTTGTGCAGAGGTGACTGGGTGCTTTCAAGGGAGAATGAGGGGGCCCGGTATGGTGGCTCATCCCTGTAATCCCAGCACTGGGAGGCCGAGACGGTCGGATCACTGGAGATCAAGAGATTGAGACCAGCCTGGCCAACATTTTTTTTTCATCTCTACCAAAAAAAACCAAAAAACAAAAATTAGCTAGCTGTAGTGACGCAGCCTGTAGTCCCAGCTACTCAGGAGGCTGAGGTGGGAGAATCGCTTGAACCTGGGAGGCAGAGGTTGCAGTGAGCCGAGATCCCATCACTGCACTCCAGTCTGGGCAATAGAGCAAGACTCCATGTCAAATAAAGAAAGGAAGAATGAGGGGATAGGGAGAGGGTAAGCAAGTCATGGAAGTGAGAAATTATAGAATGTGGGGAGAGGGTTTTGTCCATTGGAAACCCATCTGGGTTTATTGACAGGGGCTTATTGAAGTTAGGCTCCTGTATTCCCACAGAGACTGGAAGGCAGGGGCCCTGTCTTCTGTTGTTGGCTGGAACAAACAGTAAATTCTTCTGACAACCTTGAGTTTTCTCAAGTAGGCACTTGAAGCAGGCAGTGACGGGGGCCCTAGGGTCACCACAGGGATGAGTTGTTAGAGACTATGATAATGTTTGTTCAAATCTTTATAAGCCAAGGTTGAGGCCTAATAGAGAAGGGGGCTCAGAGGAACCTGGCTGGAGTTTGGACAAGGAGAGAAGCTTTTGCAGAGGAGATGTCACCAGGCTCTCAGGAGGAGGCAGTAATATTGTTGCACAACCAGAGGGAAGCCTGCAAGTACAACCTATGGAAACAGAGGTCCTGAGAACACAGCCCAACACTACGGAACTGGCCTGTGGCAGAGATTAGAATTCAGGGGGCACCTGCTCCCCTGAATAAGACCACACTTCCCACCCTCTCTCACAGACAGAAACATTCCTCAATGGGATGTGAACATAAGTGCTTCCCATCCCTTCCAGGTCACACACTCACAGGGACAGGGTTCTCCTTCCCTTTTCCTCTCCCCTTCCCACTGGCTGCAATACCACCCCCACATACACACAAGGACATGACCCCAAGAAAGGTGGAATGGAAAGATAGAAGGAGCCTGCCCTAGGCCGGGCGCGGTGGCTCAAGCCTGTAATCCCAGCACTTTGGGAGGCCGAGGCGGGCGGATCACGAGGTCAGGAGATCGAGACCATCCTGGCTAACACGGTGAAACCCCGTCTCTACTAAAAAATACAAAAAAACTAGCCGGGCGAGGTGGCAGGCGCCTGTAGTCCCAGCTACTCTGGAGGCTGAGGCAGGAGAATGGTGTAAACCCGGGAGGCGGAGCTTGCAGTGAGCCGAGATCTGGCCACCGCACTCCAGCCTGGGCGACAGCGAGACTCCGTCTCAAAAAAAAAAAGAAGGAGCCTGCCCCACTGATGGTTCCATGAAGCAGAGCCTCCATACCAACTCGAACTTCTACACACAAAAGAAAACCAGTTCTCTGGTTTTAAACCAATTTATTCTGGGTCTCTTTTGCCCCAGCCAAATTTACATCCAACTAATGTAATGTAATGCCTATCCTCACCAAAGCATGGGCAGCCTGACAGGTCATTTCAGAGCATCCAGGGAACAGAGTGGGTGGCAGAAAGAGATCAAGGACAAGGCCAGGCACAGTGGCTCATGCCTCTGATCCCAGCACTTTGGAAGGCTGAGGCAGGCGGATCGCTTGAGGCCAGGAGTTCAT